CAGATACTTACTAGGCATCTTTTTTTTTTTCTTTTGATCCTCACCAAAGGATATTTTCCCATTAATTTTCAGATTGAGTGGGAGTGGGGGGCAGGGGGAGACATTGATTGGTTGCCTTCCACATGACCCCAACAAGGGCTGGGAATCACATCTGCAACCCAGGCACGTGCCCTTGACCAGGAATCGAACCCGTGACCCTCTGGTCCTCTGGCCAATGCTCTAACTGCTGAGGCAAACCGGCCAGGGCCTGAGCATCTTTTGTACACTAGGCACTTGTCACCTCGATCGGAAGAGACAGACCATTAGCAAATAAACCAAAAACTGAGAAAATGTGAGGAACTAAGTCTATGAAGAAAGGGAACTGATGCTGTGAAAAGGAAGTAGAGGAGGCTGCTTAGGGAGGAGGACTAACACCCTCTGAAGGGCACTATTTGAGTTGAGATCTGAATGGTACGGAGGAGCCAGCTCTCCAAACAACTGAGTGCAGACTGTTTCTGGTAGTGGAAACAGCAAAGGGCTAGGTGGGCACAACCTGGATGTTCCCCACAACAGGCCATCAGTGGGGCTGAAGCCCAGCAGGCAGGGGAGATGGGTAAGGACAAGATCACAGACGTCGGATGCTGCAGAGCCTTGTGGACGACCAAGGAGTCTGGATTTTTCCCCAAAGGCAGCAGGCAGCTTTTGAAGGCTTTTAAGTGAGTGAGTGAGTGAGTGACCTTTGGTTTTACTGTTAACTACCTACTGCTTCTTCTCCAGCAAAAAAGAGAGAACCTGTCCCCGCTGTGCCTCATCCCCATGGTGACATCTCCCCAGGAGGAGCAGCAGCTCCTGGCCAGCACCTCCAAGGTGAGGCCCCTGAGCCCTGCAGGGTGGAGGTTGGGGACCTCTCCCTGCAGCCTGAGCCGCAGCCTTCTCCATCCTGTCTCCCCCAACAGCCCGTGGTGAAGCTCCTGCACAACCGCAGTAACAACAAGTACTCCTATACCAGGTGACTGCCGTGGGGCTAGGGAGGTGCACTGGGTGGAATCTGGGCTCAAGACAGCCCTGCTCCTGGCCCACGGGGGAGGGCTGTGTCCACACAGAGGGATGAGAGAGTGCCTGCCTGAATGGGAATTCCAGCTCTGCCACTTACCCACTGGGTACTTCAGACAGGTCATTTTCACTTCTGAGCTTCAGTTTTATCAGTAAACTGGGGTTCTGATGAGGATTAGATAATAATGACTAGCATTTACTAAGTGCTAATTTTATAACCGGCGTTACTCTAAGTGCTTTACATGCATATATTAACTCACATAATCCTCCCAATTGTTTGAGAAAGGTGATCTCCATTTCACAGCTAATGAAATGGAGGCACCAAGAAGTACAGTAAATTGCCTGGTTTCTCCCAGTTAAAAAGTGGTGGAGCTAGGATGCCAGGTGACACAGCCTGACTCCAGAGACTGCACAGGTGGCCACTCTGCTATGCTGGGATTTGCTCTGCTAATTCTACTTCCTTGCTAAGGCCTGCTTGGCCTGGCACCAGGGGAGGAGGAAGCTCCCTGCTAGGCACCAAACCCCTTGGCAGGACCAGAGTGCTGGGTATATGGGCCCTATGCTGGGGGGAACAGAGGGAGGGAAGCCAGTTGTGCTGAGGACTTCTGGCCCCTGGTCTTCAGCACTTCAGATGACAACCTACTTAAGAACATCGAGCTGTTTGACAAACTGGCCCTGCGCTTCCATGGGCGGCTGCTCTTTCTCAAGGATGTACTGGGGGACGAGATCTGCTGCTGGTCTTTCTACGGACAGGGCCGCAAAATCGCCGAGGTGTGCTGCACCTCCATTGTCTATGCCACGGAGAAGAAGCAGACCAAGGTCAGAAGGGGTTCAGAGCCTGGTCAGGGAGGGCTGTGGTGGTTGGCAGGTCCAGGACCCTGGACAAAGGCAAGTGAGCAGGTCAGGCAGAGGAAAAGTTCATCACTGAGATTCAGGAGCCAGAGTTCCAAGTTCTGGGGTCGTAACTGTAAATCCTGATGTCATACTATCTAGCCTCTGACGTTCCTACCCACCTGGTCTCTTCTGACCTTTATATGAAGGATGTGTCTCAGATACACAAGATCTTGCAAGTCTTTAAGTACCCAATGCTGTTTCACACCTCCCCAACTTCGCACACATTATTCCTTTTTCTTGGGGTTATATTTCCTCATCCCTGTCTGCCTGATGAATTTGTGCTTAATCTTTAAGACCCAAGCCAAGCATCACTTTCTCTGAGACACTTTCACTCAAGAAATTCCACTCTAACAACCCCAGACAAAGTTGGTATACTTGTTTCTTAGCTAAACATGGTGTTTATTGTAGTCAGGATGGTGAGGGTGGTGAGGAGGGGTTTACTTCAGTAGTAAGGTGTTAGCTCCTTGAGGGTAGGGCTGTATATTTTTCCCCCTATTTCTGTAGCACTAGTGGAAGCTAGTAGAAGAGTTTCTCACACAATGAAAGCTAGGAAACATTTGTTGAATGCATGAATGAATGATTCAGCTTTCAAGAAGCTTCCTCTGTTGTTGGGAACATAGGAAGATAAACCGATAATTAAATGTAGCTTGTTAAGAGTTACATTATTTATATTTCTCCAAGGAACACAGTCACCTTTTTGCTTCATCCCTTTATACTCTCTCTCCATCACTGTCGTTACATTGGCCGTGCTGCTGATGTTCAAATAATACACTGAGCCCACTCTTGCCCCGGAGCTTTTACACTTGCTATTGCCTCTTTGCAGACTGTTCTTCTAGTTACCCACCTGGCTCCCTCCCTTCCTCCTCCTTTGGCCATTGGTCAAGTGTCATCTCAGTAAGGCCTTCTCTGAACTCCCTCCTATAACATTCCTGGCATGACCATCCCCATCCCTTTTCCTGCTAATGTTTTTTTTCCATAACATTTGTGATCATCTGACAGTTTGTATTTTATTAAATGTATGTCTGTGTCGCCCTGGCCGGTTTGGCTCAGCAGTTAGAGCGTTGGCCTGCGGACCGGAGAGTCCTGGGTTCAGTTTCCACTAAGGGCATGTACTTCAGTTGCAGTTTGTCTTCAGCCCCTGTTGGGGTCGTGTGGGTGGCAACCACTCGAAGTGTCTCTCTCACGTCGATGTTTCTCTCTCTCTCTCCTCCCTTCTCTCCCACTCTATCTGAAGATAAATGCAAAAATTGGGTGAGGATAAAAAAAAATTAAATGTATGTCTGTGTCTTCCCCCTAGAATGTAAACTTCCTGTGGATAGACACTTTGTCTGTTTTGTTCACTGCTACAGTCCCAGCGTCTAGAACACTTGGTACAGTGCGGTCATTCAGTAAATATTTGTCTAATGAAAGAATCTACCAAGAGACTTGGTAGCAGAGGAGAGAAAACAAATAACTGGACTTTGTGACTTTGCTAAGTAAAGAAACTGCAAAGAGTACAGTCCAGGCCAAAGAACCTGTGACTACAAAGAGTAGGAGGTGTGCCAGTACAGGAGCAGCTGGAGGAAAGGGGTCGCTCTGTGGCTGGACCAGAGGATGGGAGCTGGGGGTTGCTGGCCTTTTGCAGGTGGAATTCCCAGAGGCCCGGATCTTTGAGGAGACCCTGAACATCCTGATCTACGAGACTCCCCGGGGCCCAGACCCAGCCCTCCTGGAGGCCACAGGGGGTGTAGCTGGAGGTGGTGGGGCAGGCCGAGGGGAGGATGAGGAGAACCGAGAGCACCGTGTCCGCAGGATCCATGTCCGACGCCACATCACCCATGACGAGCGCCCTCATGGCCAACAGATTGTCTTCAAGGACTGATCTTGACCTTTCTGCTTGTTTCCCTTCTGCCACTGGGACGCAGTCCCTCTTTCTTTTCTTCCCCTTCCCACACCTTTGCCCCGGCTTTGCTGGCCAAGTCGTGGGTCATCCTTCTGTCCCTTTATTGCATGGTACAGTTCACTTTGGCCCTTCTCCATTCATTCTCACTACACTGCTAATAACATGGTACATTCCAGACCCTTCCCACAGTCAGAGCCCTTCGGAAGGCCTACATTCAATTCCTCATCACCATCTTTGCCCTGCTAGCTTCCCTTATAAGCTGGTTTAAAATGATTTAGAATCCCCTTTCTCTTTTTTTAGTACATTATATATGTATGCCAAAGTGTCAGCCCTTAATAACACCCTTCACATTCTGAGCTGCCTCCCAACCATTGTGCAGGGTAGTTTGCCTCCCTCTTTCCCTTACCATTCTCCCTACCTCCTTAACTTTGTATTAGGCCAACCTGGGCCTGCACCAGCTCAGCTATCTTCTCAGTCTGTTTCATATTATTTATTATTTTAATTTTCTATTAAATTATTGAAATAAAGTTGAATTGAGGATCTGGTGCTAACTCCTATGGTGAGGGCCAGAGAGCTGGCTTGTGTTAAGGAGGTACCTAGCTCATTGGATGGGAGAAGACATGCGCCCCTGCCCTGGGACTGGTAGCTGGGAAGAAAGTAGTCAGGAGTTAGAGGATTTAAGATCTGTATTTTGATGTCCACTAGCCAGTTCCCACCCTCAGCCCCATCCCACCTCCTGCAGTGGAGAGGAGGTCCTGGCTACCATGCAAGCCATCCCTGAGTGCAGCATTTCTCCAGCCCAGATGACTTCCTTCAAGGGTCTGGTGCAAAGACAAAGTCGAGAGCCTGGCGCTCAGCCCCAGCCACATTGGGATGCCAAAGGTCCACGATGAAAACCACTCGAGGCCCATCTTCAGGGGAGCCTAGGGTACATGGGAATGGAGACAGGAGTGTAGCTGACATTAAGTACTTATATGCCAGAGCACTCACCAAATACTAAAAAAAAAAAAAAAGCAAACACTTTGTAAGTAAATGTCAGGCACTGTTCTAACCCCTTATGTGCATTAACTCTTAATCATCAAAACAAACTATGAGGTAGTACCATAGTTATTTCTATTTTATACAAAGTAACAGGCACAAAGAGATTAAATAACTTGCCCAAGTTCATATAGCTAGTAAATGCCAGAGGTATGTGTTATATGAAAAAAGAGGCTAGCAGTCCCCTTGACAAGGGTGGAAGAGGCCCTCAGGCCCAACAACACATGTGCAGTTAAGGCATTGCCATCTATTTGGTGGCATCTAACCATCTTAAGTGCCAGAGGTAGCACAGGAACTCAGGTGGTCCAGGCCCAGGGTCTTGTGCTGTTAACCACTTTGCTACTTACATTAATTTATTTAATCCTTCAGTCACCTGATCAAGAAAGCAATTTCTCTATTTCACAGATGATTGGAAAAGTTACGTGACTTGCTCAAGGTTATGTATCTGGAAAATGGTGGTGCTGAGATAGGAAGCCAGTGGGCCTGATTCTGCAGCCATTCATCTATTTCCCTTCACTCTTAGTCCCTTGTTTCTCCCAGCAGAATGGGAACCCCATTACCATTATGAGCCACTGTGTGCAGGAAGGAGTCATCCACCAGTAGACAGTGTCCCTCAGCCCAGCACTGGGGCTCACCCCCAACCACCAGCTCACAGCCAGGGGGGATCTTCAGACCTGTGGAAGAAGACCCAGGCATTCAACATTTCTGCTTACATGGAAAGGGCCCATCCCACTCAGTCAAAAAGCAGACTGAGGGTCTTAAACTCCAGGTTCTATGGTGGTTCCTCCTTGCTCTCTGGAGTGGACCAGAATATATTATAAAGCAATACTGGCTGAAAGAAGTGCTAGGAGATATAGGGAAATGCAGTGCAAGGCACAATCTATTCTGTTTCAGAGAAAAGGGAAGGCTTCCTGGAGGAAGTGGCATCTCCTGGACTTCTGACAATTTAACTCAAGAACCTACTATGTGCTGGGCCTTCCATCCCTATGAAATATAAAACTAATGACTCAGTCCTTGCCCAGGGATCACACAGTAGAGTACTGTGAGAAAACTGAGCAGCCACTTCAAATGATGAGGAATAAGAAGACATCCCAGTCCTGGCTGGTTTGGCTCAGCGGTTAGAGCGTCGCCCTGCGGTCCAGAGAGACCCGGGTTCGGTTCCCGCTAAGGGTGCGTACCTCGGTTGCAGTTTGTCCCCCGGCCCTGGTTGGTCGTGCGGGTGGCAGCCACTTGATGTGTCCCTTTCATGTCGATGTTTCTCTCTCTCTCTCTCTCTCTCTCTCTCTCCCTTCCTGCCCCCCTCCCTCCCTCTTTCTGCCCCCCCCCCCACTCTATCTGAACAAAAAAATGGAAAAATGTCCTCGGGTGAGGATTAAAAAAAAGAAGAAGAAGAAGACATCCCAGAGGAGGTGTGACACTTGAAAATACGAATCCTGAAGGCAAAGTAGGAGTTTTCCAGGAGGTGATAAAATGATAAAGGTAAAGAAAGACATTTTAGGTTAAGGGTGTAGCATAAGGGTGGTGTCTGCCAGGATTAGCTAGAAGGCTAATTTTTTAGAGGATGGCGGGAGGGAAGGCAAGGAAGGGAACAGATGGGAGATGAGAGAAAGGATCTAGACTTGATCCTGAGGCAGTGTGCTTCAAAGTGGAGGATACAGGTAGCACAGCAAGGTCATGGAATTAAATAATCAGAAAAATGATTTCTTTTCCATTTTCTCTCAATCTTTAAAACATCAGAAAGAAAATCTCAGTGTGGTGCTCCATGACATTAACATCCCACTAACATTGCTCCCTTCTAAATGAAGATAGTGGCCCTGGCCTGCTCAGCGGTTGGAGCGTCGACCTGTGGACTGGAGAGTCCTGGGTTCGGTTTCCGCTAAGGATACATCCCCGGCCCCAGTTGGGGTCGTGCAGGAGGCAGCCATTCAATGTGTCTCTCACATTGATGTTTCTCTCTCTCTTCCCCCCTCTCTCCCTCCTGCTCTACCGGAAGCTAAATGCAAAAATGTCCTCAGGTGAGGATAAAAAAAAAAACTAAATGAAGAGAGTGTAGGCCTCAGTCTCGGAGAGACTAGAGTATATAGCCAAAAATTTTAAAGCCTTTTTTTTTTTTCAGTTTAAATTTGTTTTTATGAGTACTTTCTATTTAGGACAAGTAATAACTGATTATCATTGTTCTATAAAAATCCCTTTTACATAAGTGGGGGGAGTCCATATGAAGAAACAGTACAGGTGGTAAATGACTATGGCAAAGCTTATGAAGATGGTTTGCAGATAACTGAAGCTCAGGAAATGCTGCTGCTGTAGGCAACTGGTTGTAGTGGAAGATTTCTGAGAAGAGAGAGGCATGATCAGAAGCACAGTGAGACAGCTCTGGTGGCAGAGAAAAGAGGCAAGGAGATTGTCTGCAGGCATCATCTACTTACCCAGATGGCACCTGACCCGGGCATTCGTGGGCCCACAGCAACCTTCAAGCCGGGCCCCCGGAAGGAGGACAGAAAAGCCAGCATTGCCAAAGGTGTTGGCATTCATGAAGCTCCGCAGCCCCCTCAGTGCCCGATAGGCCCCAGGGCACCGGCGACAGTTGTTGGGTTGGCATCGGCCTGCTTGGTATAGCAGGAGCTGGTAGCACCCAGGAGCCAGGGGAGGGGACCAGCCCTGAGGCAGAGGGGTAGTCCCTGAGAAATCCCAGTTCACAGCCCCAAAGTCCCGCAAAATAGCAGGGAAGCTGCTTTCCAGGAGCTCCACATCATGTCGCTGGGCATCCCGTGGCACGAAGGGCACTGAGGGCAGGTCTGGCAGGAAAAGCAGGCCTGGGCGCTGAATGCCCAGGACCCCTGGACTTCCCCCAGGGCCTGGGCCACCCTGAGCTGCCCGCCTCACCCTACCCATCCCTGCCCAAGAGTAACGCCTGGCGTAGGCCCGAAGGCGACGACTCACTAGACCTTCTATCTGAGGTCCTTCCCCAGACTCCCCAGAGCTCCCTAGGCTTGACCTGCCAACCTCAGAGCATCCCCCAGGCCCACCACTGACACCCCCAGCCCGACTCCCAACAGCCAGGGCCTGCATGTCTTGGGAGCCCAAGCGGTAGCAGTACCAGAGGAAAAGGGAAGTGAGGGCTCCAAAGAGCAGGGTGAAGGCTGAGGAGGCCAGGGGCAACGGCCATGTGGAAATGATGGGCAGGGAGGCCATGGCCAAGAGGCCTGGGGCATCTTCCAGACCCCAGTTCCCCTGTACCCTCAGTTCTTCCTCTATGGCTGATCCCTGATTACCCCCTGGGCTGTTTCCCTTCCACATTTCCACTCTGTGTTCTCTCTCCTTCAGAGGTCTTCTCTCCACCTTGTATCTCCCTCTTTCTCCCCTCTTTCATGTACCTTTAACCCTCCTTTCCCTTTCTTTTCTTCTCCCTCTCTCTCCTCTCTCTTACTTCTTCTTTCTCACCCTCTGCCTCTCCTTTCCCCACCTCTGTCTCTCCTTCTCCTTTCTTCTCTCCTCCCTTCACCCCCCACCCCCACCCCCGCCTCTTTCCTTCTTTCTTCCCTGGACAGCAGTTCCTACCCCGCCTGGATCCACAGCCCTGGGGACCTGCAATCAGTCGTCCTCCGCAGCAGCTTTTCTCCTTTCTCCCACCTCTCTCCTCCCTGCCCTCTATTCTCATTCGACCGACCAGCGGGTTTTCTCTCTCTCGCTCTTTCTCCCCTACTCGCTCCTTCCCTGGCTCCCACACATCCTGACGTCACTCCTCCCTACAGTAGTCTTCTCAGCTTAGCTACCCCAGCCCCTGCCCAGAGGCAGCGGCAACTCAGCCAGTGGGGGGGTTGGGGGGGGGCGCGAGGTGGTCCGTCTCCGGATTTCCCTCTCCCCGGACCCCAAACGGGGCGCCAAGTGAGGCGCCAGGGGCAAATTGCCAATCTCTAGCTGCCCCGCATTGCGAAAAGAAGAGGCAGGGCTTGGGGCGGGACAAACCAAGGGGCGGGGCGAGCGCCGCAGACTGCGGATTGGGACGCCGCGGCCTGTCCTTGGGTCTGCAGAACCCTAGACCGGTCAGCCTGGGCCTCCTTCTCCCACTTCGCTTTCACAGGAGCCAGCCCCAGGGGGGAGCCTGATTCATAGCGAAGGCGCCTTCAGCCAATCATCCACAGCGCTGGGGGCGTGGCCCACAAGGCGGGGCCGGGAAGAGCTGTCCGCGCGCTGGTGGTGCTGAAAAAAGCGCTTCAGAGGCGTTATGAGAGAGGCCAGAAATAAAAAATCAAAGTTGAAACCCCCTGCCAGCTGGCCGGGCTCAGGTTGTATGTAAGAGGAGGGGTCTCTCCTCTCCAGATACCAAATTGTTATCCCTTAGACTTCTCCAAAACGTGGAAACTTGCCATTCTCCTAGAGGAGGGGAAAGCCCATTACACATGAGCTTCTGCAGAAAGGAAGAAGTCTCATGGCAGGAGGAGTGAGGGGTCTGGACATGGGCAGGGGCACACTGAAGGCTGAGCAAGCACGAACCCATCTGTGCCGCCCCTGGGCACCCTGGGAAGAGGAGATTCAGATTCCAGATGTTGCTGTAACTGCGGTGAGAGGGGCTGTAATTATTGCTGGGACCAGAGAGTTTCCTTTGCCTCCCCTAGGGGCCGCGGGGAGTGAGGATTATGGCCCTGGCTCGTATGGTCCCTCCTTCCTCCATCTGCACTTCCTCCTCCTCCCTCCCGCCCCCCAATAAATCTCAGGCCCCTCCCTTCGCCCGTCCCCAGGATCTGACGTGGGCTCGACACCTTTCTCAGCTTCTCCCTCCCGCAGCTCTAGTGCCCGAGCTTCGGCTCTCTAGGTTCCGCAACCCCCACTCCTCTCCGCCAAGCCCCGCTAGAGCCCAGTAGGGATCTTCCTGGTCCTCTACCCCACCCCAAGCCCCTGAAGCTGTCTTGCCTTTCCCCAGCTGGGTCCCACCTTAGGATCCAGCTAGCCTGGTGGACCCAGGCGCCCAAGCTAGAGAGTAACCCAGGAGGCCCAGCTCCTTTGGCCCTCTCGGCTCCACCCCCTACAGCCAGAGCCGCGCCCCCTCTCCCACAGATCCCAGAGCAGAGAATAGGGAAGATTGGGCAAAGAGGGGTGGGCTCCAGGCAACCCCCCCTTGCCCAATTCTGCCCCTCCATCCCAAGGGGTAGAGAAATTATCTTCCTTGCTAACTGCTAGCAGGAAAAAAATTAAAGGGAAAGATAGAAGGAGACGGAAGAAAGGTGACAGCTAGATTATTTAAGAGAAGCGCAGAGAAGAGAAATCAGTGTGAGT